TTGAGTAATGTTGGTAGTATCAGATGTCATCATCTCAGGGGACACGGAGTCTACTGTCTTCCTCAAGGTCTATAGGCAAAGGGACGGCAGTCATTCTGTGAATCCATCATTGCCTTATATTGAAGGATATGATTCTTATTTCAGCTGGGAGTAGAAGTATCCAGAAACATTCAAATCTCTTTATGGGAAAAGCCAGAGATTGCCTTTGGTGGCACATTAGGCCACTATTCTACCTTCCTATTATGAGGGAACTCAAGGTCAGATATATTGCTTCTCATGTGTTTCTTAGTCTTGCTTGTCTTCTGCAAAGTGTATCAGGATGTGTCAAGAGAAAGAGCCACAATGGTGTCATCTCTCCATTCTGACTGTGAGGAGAAATGAGTTTCAGACAGATCTTAAATTGCCTATGGTGCAGGATGATGTTAAACCATGTTTTGCAGAGAAACAGGTCCTAATGAGGTCCATGAGATTTACTGCTACATAAGTGTGTTGAGGATTACATCCTACAAGTAATGTAGGGGGTGGTAGCTGCTATAAGACCATGCATGAGCTTGTCATTGTTATTGTGACTTGCAGGCTAAAAGTGGAAAGATGGTCAGGCCACAAAGCAAGAGTACAGAGAAGTAGTAAATAATTGCAGAGATGGTGTTAGGGAAGGCAAAAACTGAGAATGAGATTTGCTTAGCAAGAGAGGGTAAAAGTAACAAAAAACATTCTTCAGGTTTGTGCATAGCAAAAGACAAAGAAAATAAATAATGGCTCAGTTAATCAATGGGGATGGAAAAATAATAACAAGTGTAGGCATCCTTCATTCTCAGAGACTATGGTAACATGCTCTGAATAGAGGTCTTGGAACAACATCAATGTGGCTGAGAAGGCCAATTCAAGAGTGACAATCCGTTCCGCACTGAAGACAAATACAATCTGTCCCCTGTCCGGCTCCCTAATTTTGCTGGTTTTGGGACTTAGATCACTCTAATCAAGCCTAACCATTCCAAAACAGCCCACGTTAGTTCAGTCCCTGCCGCTAATGTAGCCAACACCGTGACAACAATTACAGGGAAAATTCTAGAATAGATTATAAAAGCAATGATTCTACAAGCATCTTGAAAACAATAAAGTAATAACAAGAAGTCAACATGGATTTGTCAAGAACAAATCCTTCCAGACTAATTTTATCTCATTTTTAAATGGGTAATCTTCCTGGTAGATGGTGGAAATGCTGTAGACATAATGAATTTTGACTTTAGCAAAGCATTTGACAAAGTGCCCCATGGTATCCTGATTATCCGGACATCATGGGGCACTTGATAGGAGTTAACTGGATAGAAGAACTTTTGGGTAGATACATAGGTGGTTACAGAGTCATACTGAGACAGTAATTACCAAAATGGGTAATCTCCCTGGTAGATGGTGGAAATGCTGTAGACATAATGAATTTTGACTTTAGCAAAGCATTTGACAAAGTGCCCCATGGTATCCTGATTATCCGGACATCATGGGGCACTTGATAGGAGTTAACTGGATAGAAGAACTTTTGGGTAGATACATAGGTGGTTACAGAGTCATACTGAGACAGTAATTACCGGTATCAATGGCTCCTTCTCAAACTGGGAAGAGATAACAAGCTGGGTACCACAAGGCTCAAACTTGAAAACCACATGGGCTCCTGTACAAGGGCTTAAGGCAAGCTTAGTAAAAACAAGGGCAGTTTAAAAGTTATTTGCTGGGTACAGATGGTCACACCACGAGATTGGCATTAGGAAGAATGGAGCTTTTTTCCAGTGGTTACCCTGTACTGGAGACTGGTTTGGTTTGCTTTCCCTTGCATTCAGTTTTTTTTTTAACATCAAATTCTTTCCACTCCAAAAACATGATTCACAAATTTTGGCAAATTCTTAGGAAAAGAACTGAAATAAGAATTTTACCCATCTGAACAGAGGCCAGACTGAATAGTTGAAATTTTTATATCCTCTATTATGTGGCTGGGATGGACCTTTCTGAGCTGGGATGACTGAAAATCTATCAGGCACTAACCAATTGTTATTTCCCTGCCTCCGATTTAAAGAAAGCCTACCTTTCTGCTCTGCCCCCCTCCCTTTGTCTTTTGAAACAGCGGGTCTGTTGATGCCTGTTGCTTCAAACAGCCATGTTTCTTGTCAGTTTGCTGTTTCGGCTGTTCATTTTTATTCTTCCTTCTTACAAATGTCTCAGAGTGAGTTAATGAGATTGTAAGTGCCAGTTGATGAGAAATAGCAGTGGTCTACTCTAGGGAACTTGAAGCTAATTCTGCTCTGTGAATCCCTGCACTTCTACTGCACAGCTAGAGGAATTTAACCAAAATTCAAATCTCTGAAACGTAAACAGAGCTGTTGCCAACATGGAGAGGACATGCTGGACCTGCCTCTCATGTTTGTGTTAAATAGGATGAGCCCTTAACTTAAAAAAGAGGAAACCTACTATTTCAGCACCAATATGATCTCATTCAAAGCTTCACTTTTAAGAGCTAAGAGCTCAACACCCTTAACAAGCAAATCTAAGGTTCTTTCCATTCCAAATATGAGGAAGTTTGCAGATTTTGCTAAATTCTTATAAAAACTTACCTGAAATGAAATCCCTTCCTCCCACCACCTTCACCTTACCTCTATAGAACACTTTCCTCAAGGAAGTTTGCCAGGCATTGACATTGTCAATCTCTTGGCACCAGAAAAAGATGGATTTATTTTCCCAGACATTAAAAGCCTGCTGTGAGATAGTAGTGATGTGGTATTTGTTCTGGGATGGGGGATTTAAGTATTGCTACTGTGGAAGAACACTTTTAGTTTTGTGTGGTTTTAAATGATGCTTTATTGATTGTGTATTTATAACTGTATTACCTTGTTATCTTGATTATGAATTATATTGATTCATATTTCCTTTTTATATTGATTATTCTGTAAGTTTTATTTTGCAAGCAGTTGTGAGGCTTCTTTGGCAGTGAGAAGCAAGTCATAAACATAATGAATGGTAATTATTTATGCTGTTTTAAAATGTTTAATTGATGTTACTATAGTATTTTAATTGGGTCTGATGTTTCTTAACACAGAAGAAAGTCCCGCTGTATTCAAGGGAACTTACTCTTGGGTAAGAAGGAATAGAATTTTAGTCCAAATGTTGTTGACCTCTCTGAGGCTACGTTGAAAAAAATGTGGCAGAATATAAATTGAAATACAGTAAATAAAGTACAACAAGAAAAGAGTTGAAAAAGAAAAGGAACTACTGTATTCAGGGAATTTTCCTAGTCTTAGTGGAGTACTGCTGGATGTATCACACTCTGATGTATTATGCATTAGGTTAGAGTATGTGGAGGACAAACATCTGTAGACACAGGGCAGATAGCAACATCTCTTTATCCTATTAATGCTTACAATAATAAGCTTTGCTAAGTCATGATAGCATTATGACTGATTCAGCAGTGGCTGAAACATAGTGGCTTTCAGTAGATGTTGAGCTAACCCATGAATGGAGGAAAGTCCAGGTCCAATCTTGCAGCAGCAGCTTCTAAATTATTTAGAACTCAAATCTCAACATAGCAATGGAAATTTCAGCCACTACCACAAACCCTGACTGCCGTCTTCTACCCACTCACCTGAATTCAATGTGATTTACTTTTGAGTAGACCGGTACAAAGTTTTACTTCTTTCCTTTATGATCCAGTCCTTCAGTTCACAGGTGTTACTCCACAGTCAAGTAAGAAGTCAAGTTTCAAATCAGGTGAAATGATCTTTGGTCGATACCTCTCTTTTCTTAACACTGTACCTTATATATAAGCCATTATAGGCTGTTCAATGCTTTGTTTGATCATGGATTTAATGGGAGGGTCAGTATGGGGAGAAAGGAATAGAGGAGATACTCCACATACTCCATTTGTTGCCCACCAGCAGGTCGAGGTAAAATGACCATCACTTTTCCAAAGTTGGATTCTGCCCACCATTGCCGATGCCAACTCATATCTTTTTTTTTTTTTTTAAAAGAGGGAGGCAGTAGCTTTTTTAATCTTACAGACAGAGCGACGCAAAGGGTTAGGGTGCCTTTTACTAAATCAACTACTTTGTCCAAGGCTATTGGCAGTCAAAACAGCATTTTGGATAGCTGCCATATTCTGGTTTGGCAAGAAATAATACAAGACCACAGCCCTATGTATTCTATTTATTAATTTATTTATTAAAAAAATATTTTAACCCCTCTTTTTCTTAAAGAAGGACCCAAGGCGGCTCACATCCTTAAAATGTTTATTTTCTCTTTATGGACTAGGGCTGAAATCCAGTACAGTACTTACTGGCCTGACAGGAACCGGAACTTGTGGCTTATTGCTGAGGAAACGCAGCATTGCCCTTCTAATTTCTGCTCAGCCTCAGAAAACGCAAATATAATATTAAGCAGCTACCAGTGTATAATCCTTTGCATGCCTTGTCAGCAGTAAGTTCCGGTGAAGTTCAAAAGGATTAACTTCTAGATAAATTGGACACAGGACTGGAGCTTCAGAAGACTTCCTAACCAATTCCACCTGGGGTTTCCAGTCATTATTGCAAACGAGTCCAATTCCGGAGTCGCAACAACCCCCCTTTCTGGCTCCTCTCCGGACGGGTTGGTTCTGTACCTGCGCTTCATAAGCGAAGCAACCTCGCTTCCTCGATCACCCTACCCACTACTCACACCTTCGCTTGGCTATTGGTTCTGTACCTGCGCTTCATAAGCGAAGCGACCTCCCTTCCTCGATCGCCCTACCTACTACTCACACCTCCGCTTGGCTACGCCTGACAGCTCCCCCTAAGAGCCGTCTCGTCCCGCCTCCCTTAATAGCTGCACGCCGGCGATTGGGCGAGTCTAGCGGCGGCAGGCTTGGCCCGCGATTGACACGGCGATGCCCGCGCCCCTCGCAAGGAAGGGCGCGCCATTGGTCGGGGCGAGCGCGCTCGAGCGCGCGGGAGGGGAGGTTTCCCCGCCCCCTTTCCAGCAACCCTGCAGCGCTGCCTGCCGGAGAGCGGGGCGACTTCCAGTCGAGAGATGGCGGCCGCCGCGGGTAGATCGCTGGTGCTGCTCCTCCTCTCCCGGACTCCCGGCGGCGGCTGCGGAAGAGGAGGAGGAGCGGCGGCGGCGGCGGCGTTGACAGCCGCTGGCTGTTTCCCAGGGTTGGCAAGGCACCGGCAGCGGCACAGGACGGTGAGTCCCCTGGGCGGCGGTGGGGAGGCCGGGGCAGGTTTGCCTAAAGGGACTGGGAGGACGCTGGCCAGGCAGAGGGGACACCGCTGCCCTTCCCGTCTGTGAGGCGCCGCCGGAGCGGCGAGGATTTTTTAATTATTATTTTTATTTATTGTCTTTTAATCTACTCCCGCCCCCCACCGCACCCACCCGACGCGGGTCGTGCTCGCTGCGTCCCGTTGGAGCCTCCCTTGTTCTCTCCTCCCTCCGGCAAGGAAGGGAGCCCAACCCCAGCCCTCGCCCAGGGTCCGCCCCGCCCGTCGGAGGGAGGGACCGCCCGCCCGCCCGTCCGTCCGTCCGGGACAAGGGCGACCCGGGCTTCCCCTCTCCTCCCGTCGGGTCTCCCTTGCCCTCTCCCGCTTCTCTCTCCTCCTCGCTCAGGAGACCGGCGCCTCGGGCGAATCGATACGTAGCGGGGCTGGCTTGGCAGGGACCGGGCTAAAGGCTGGCTGCTGTGATGCGGCGTGCAGGGGGAAAAGAGGCGGAGGAGGAGGAAGCCGCTGCTTTTGCTGCTGCAGTGACTTGGAGATCCTGGAGTCAGTCTCTCTCTCTCTCTCTCTGGGATGCTGCATCTATTTCCCCCCCCCTTTCTCTTTTTTTTAGAAATTATCTTGGCAGAGCAGCCGGTCGTCCTCGTGTGGGCCTGTCAAGGCTGGATTGACTGGGGAGGCGGAAAGGGAGGGGTTGCCTGTGAAAAAGGGGTGCTGGGGAGGGGAAGGAGGGGTTTGGAAGGCTTCCAGCTTCATCCCACTTCTCTCATTCATCCAGAGAGCCGTGTGAACCACTCACTCTCTCTTGTAAACCGTTTTCTGTGGATACCGAGAGGAAAGGGAGAAGTTGTGCAGAGGGGCTTGGTGCCTTTTTCTTCTTCTTTTTAAAAAGCTTTCTAGGTCCATACTGGATGCCTGCCGGTCATTTCTTACAATTGTGAGAATTCTCCCAGCCTGCCTGTAGGCAAAAATTATATTTTATAGACTGAAGCAGGGTGCTTGATGCACTTGGGTGGAATGCAGATCAGCGTTCAGTACTTCTCTCCTGGGGTGTTTGATCTCCAGAACAGTATCACTGTGAAAGAATAAAAATAATGGTGCACTCCAGGTATCCAAAAGTTTAGTTATCCCGGATGGTAAGGAATCTGGACATGCAAACATGGAGTTCACAACTGGAACTTCTAACACATTGGAAGTGTGTGAAATGCCTGTTGCTGAACTTTGTATACTACCTTCATAGATAAGCAATAACACTTGTCTTGTCACACTCCATTCCATTATGTTTGCGCTTACTGAACTTTGTATGTATAGTAAAGCACAAATGATATCCAGTCAACACAGTGTTTTATTGAATGTTAATAACCGAATGTTAATGAGAGCAGCCCTGTGCCCACTCCTCTGTTAGAAAATTTTCTACCATCTTCCAGATTCCTTCCTTTCTTCCTGGGGTCTACAAGGCCAGCCACACTGGTTTAAATTGTGTAAATAAAGCTGATTAAACATAGACTGTAGTAATAATTTAGACAGAAGTAAAGAAGATGACAAGGCCTGTGGTCTGTTGAAATTTCTACAAAATCTTTAGTGTTTTTTTTTTTTACTCTGCCAGTTTTGACAACATTTGTGTTAGTTTTAACTTCAGTTGCTGGGACTTTATATGCCAGAATTGGTTGAATATATTCTACTTAAACACTATTTTTTTTCTTGTCTGGAAAGCTCTTCAGATGAAATAGTTTGTGATAATACCATGCAGAATATAGTAGAACATTCATTCAAGTGAGCATTAAATAGTAAATTGTCTTGTAACAAAAACCTGTTCCTATTGGATGATCTAAATGTTTCAGTTCATCTTTCCAAGATGTAAAAGTTTAGAAAGTTGTTTCACATTTTTTCCTCGATATGAAATAAATAGATCCTTTGTTTTAACATATACTTGGCATCTAGGCTTTCCCCCCATAAGTTTTACTCTTTGTAACCCAACAGTTTTTACTCAGTGGGCCCAAAGGAAGCAACTTTGACAGAAGCACAAAGTGACAAGGAAATTGTCTTTATTGTTAAACAGATCACTATGTGTCATCTGATGTATAATTTTTGAATGAGATATGCATTTGCTGACTTTTTCTACTCTAGCTGAAAAATAGTTCAAAATAAAAGTGAGTGATGATAATGGGATAAAATTGTTTGGGAAAGAAGACATAATATGACTCTGCCTTAATGGAACTGAAGGGACGGATTTGTTGCTATATTAATATGTAAATCACCATAACCACCAGATCTGCTTTGTTAATAAATATATTGTTGGGAAATAAAACAATTTTGTCAGACATGGTTGCATGGATGTATTGTTAACTCATAATGTAATGGCAAACAGAGAAATACATGTGGAAAAAAGCAGAGCATATTTTCCATGTACATCTTGCTAAATTTTTATAACCTCTTTATTATCTTTAAGAGTTCAGTTGCAGTTTTTGTGTTTGCTCTGATTCAAGGTTATATTAGGTTTTATTGGACACCATGCAGTATGTGCAGTACATGGCAATTTGTGTGGCTCTGATGATTTGTGAGAGACTAAGATAGTTTTGGACATTTTGATGTATGGTAGACGGTCATACTGAATTTGGTTAACTAGTATTTGACAAGCAATTTATGAATCACTATTTCATCTTGTCATACAGAACAATCACTTTTAGTTGGCCTAGAAGTTTACAGCTCCAGTCAGTTTGGGGAAATAAAAGTTAGTTGACCTGGTCATGTTTTACTATTGTTGATAGAAACCTGAGTGTTTGAATCAGCATGTGTTTATACTTGTATAAGGCTTTTGCACTGTGAATGAGCTAGGATGCAAACTATTTTTTGATTATTCTCATTAATTTATTGAGGAAAGAGCAGTTATGCAAATGGGCTTCACTTTTTAAATCCTGCTTTAAAAAGAACAACAAACAAAACTCTTGATATTAAGTTTTCTTATTCTACCGCAACAAAAAAACAAAGCATCTTGGGGTGCCTGGCTTAAAGACTAAAACGTTTTATTTGACGTGTGCTTTCATGAACTGTTGCCCGCAATTATGCTTTTGAAGAAGAGGGTTGCAGTGCATTAAAATTTAAACCAATTAAAGTTTGGTAGTGTTAAACTGGCACTATACTTGTTTTTAGTACGTATAGGCAAAGCCAGCTCAAGAGTGGTGTTGATAATAAAAAAAAATTCCCACATTGCCTCATTCTTGCTTTTTGTGTTGGCCTGGACTTGGTCTAGGATTGGTAATTTTTCTGGATTAGTACAAAATTAAGACTGTGGTAAAGGTGCCATTTTGGCCTGCAAACCTTGACACTTTTATAACTCCTAACAGATGTTTATCAGGAGCTTGCATTTATTGAGCGAATGTTGCCTCCTAGTGGATAAGGTAAAGAGGTTATCAGTTACTTACATTAGGAAGTTACAGGTCACTCTATTATTTGTTTAGAAATAATTTAAAAACTACATTTGCTAATAACTTTTAATACCAACTAAAATGCTATGGAATAATAAATAAGCTTCTGTATCACTTCATGAAATGCTACCTAACCCATATAAAGATATCTACTGTGACATCTGGATACTTTTGTCAAATATGTTACCATTTTTACATAACTCAGTTATAAATATGCAGTTATGAATCAAGGGGAGCATATTTTCTGGCTCTCATTCAGTCATTAACTAGACTTGTAAATTATTTGGTCCAGAAAGTCTGCTGTGGGCCTTCAGACCACTAGGGAACATATGCAGAATAAAACTTTGAACAAAGTGTTTAGCTTGGATTAGTTAAAGAACTGATTGAAAATGCAGATGGGTATGTAATGCAGTATTTGTCCATGTATAATTTCTATAAGGAAAATACTGATGCAGGAGTTTTATTTTTAAAATCAATATTTAGAAGTACTATGATATACTGAACATAATTTTGAATTCAGGAAAAATGAGGCCAATGTCTTGAGATGGATTGTGCTGTGTGAATTTCTGAATGAGCTCCTCTCAAAGGGCTGATGATTTGCCTGAAACTATCGCACTTCAAATGAACTGATTTTTTTTCTCTGTATGTGCACATTTTCCTCTTCAGATAACACTTGTAAGTGAGCATATGTCTACTCACTGTATGTTATTTTAAAAAATTCATCAGGTAATGTAATTGGAACAGGATGATTATATGAATTTTTGCAGCATGTGAATATTCTGGCTTGAAGACAAATAACAATACTGATGGGAAAGTGTATAATTACCAAATGTTAAGTTTTGTGCACTTCGGTTCTTACACTGGAGCAGGAACGAAAGGGTTTGGGATGTGTATGGCTCAAAGTTTTGTTGACTAGAACTACTGTGCAGTTATCTGTATCGTGCAATAGCAGCAGTCAGCATATAGTTATGATTTATATCCAGTTTCCATGCATTAGTGTGTCCACGATTTGAGTAGGGGGTAGTTTGATTTGTGGTCTGAATTTCCTTACTTTTTGAGTATAGCTTCAACTATCCTTCCAAAGTTTCCTTGTACAAAACTGGAAATGTTCTTCTAGTCCCCCCCTTCCTCCCCTCCTCCCTCCTTTTTTTTGCAGTTCATACAAGATTCCAGGAGCAGAAAATTGATATCCAGACAGACCAGTCAGTTGCTCACCCCTGGTTTGAAGTGGCTTCTTCAGATGCATGAAATGTTAACCTCAGAGTTCAGGCATACTTTATTGTGAATAGGAATGTAATCTGCAAGGTTAGAAGGAAGTGAAATGCAAATAGGAAGGAAATTGAGGAGTGTATGTGTGTGCATGCTTTGAGAATTAAAAACAACCTGTGATGAGGTTATAGTATTTCTATTCTGTGCCTTATATGCATCAGGAACCATGCATTTATGTTGACAGGTGTATCTCTTTCTAGTTGCGTATTTGGTCTATTAGACTTTCCCTATTTGGTAGGGAAAGTTTAACAGAGCCTTGAACTTGGCTTTCTTGCTT